ATTAGCATAGTTGACCTGCTATATTGAACTGTGAAGCTTGGCGATGAAGGTTCGAATCTCAAAGAGAGCATCAGCTACTTTAAAATTACGAGCGTAAACTGCTGATGAGTCCCAGGTAGCATGAGTCCAAAACCACTAGTCAACTACCTACAGCTGCCAGATTAAATTTTAACATAAGTCGATGTTGAGTCAGTTAAAGTGATGACCACATTTCAGCTTGACCGATGGGACTCAATCAGTACTACATAGAACTAAGTAAATATAAAACTGGTGACTACTCACTTATCGATCAGTTGTATTCAAGTATGTCTGTTGCATGGTTAATTATAAAAGGCAAACAAAATATCGGAATACTACTGTCACAATTGCAGTCTGATATTTAACAGTTCATTTATATTAAATAGGATAGCTATAAAAGCCTTTTTAATCAGAAGTTCAAACCGACTTATGATTTTTGTCTGGCTTTCACCATAGAGTGAAAGGAAAATAAGACATCAAATATACTCATTGTAAACGGTTTAGTTATACTATTTGAGAATATTATTTTACATCTATGATTGATTGAACCGATCAATCAGAAATAGAGGTGAGAATAATTATAAATAGTAAAAATGTCTCTTTGAAAGAATAACAACAAACTAATGATTTCCATTTGAAAAATATTAGGTTGTAATTAGATTTTTATAATTTGTTAGATATCATAGTGATGGTCTAGCTCTAAAACACGAAAACCCTGGCCTCAGTCTCTAGGGGGTTATGGGTGAGTATTAATGAAAAATCCCATCATATGACGAAAGAGCTTTCAGACAATTGTTTCATAATTCCCAATGGTTGTTTATGTAACATAGGTTCATGATATAAACTATTATCTAAAGATTGATTACAGTGCATAATCTCATAAACATCCCTGATTGTATTACGTGATATGAAAATGTTATGGTGTAATGGTGGTATTTATTATATGATTAGTGGTCCGAAACAATAAACAAATACAAAAATTAATAACTATTAAGTAGTTCTACTCCATTTATTGGTCCTGTTAACAGCGAAATCTGTTCGAATAGTTAGTTTTAGGTGAAAGTATTGTTAAATTAGTAACCGAGATAACTCAACTTATTAAGTTAAACTCACCTTAATCAATAACATCAATGCATCTAGCAAGAGGTTTTTGTGATGATCTTAGGATTCAGAAAGCCAAGTTGGCCTTTACCGACTTACGTCACTTATGACTTAGACAAGATATCTGTTTGGCATTTAAAGGACGAGTTTACTATGATGCATTTCGCTCCATTGTAACTTATGGGTGTGAACCACGGCCTTTCAAAATAGAGGATGTTCGTGGGTTATCATTATTCGACCTCAGATGTCTTCAGACCATATTTCATGTATTTTTAGACAACTGAGTAAGCATTGGAGAGGGTAGGGATAAAGTACTAGACAAATATGGGAACTCAATTGACGAGGTAGTGAATCCCTACCGACCGGAATGATTGAGACATGTATTGCTCATTCCCATCCACTAATTACTCCAATATGCGATGATGGCTAATGTAGGAGTGGATTAGAAGAATGATGGAGATAGCAGAACCAAGACATGACATTAGTTCATGAAGACATTGACTGTCGGATTGATCAGACTACGTTGTTGGGATTCGGGTGGTTATTGTGGACGATTATTAGAGATCTTGAATGACATGGCTTGAAATCGTTTACAATAAAGCACTTGCATCCATTCTTTGTGTTCTCCCAAATCCTGAGATTTCAAATTCCTCATAATTACTTTTTGGTTTTATTTCACTAACTTATATTCTGCATTCGAGTCGTAGCTTAAATACTTAAACTTTCCAATTACCACTGATACTGCTATAACCTCTACTATCATGGATTTCGGCCTGAAAGCTTCATAGCGGTGTGCCGATGAGGTATGACAACTTGAACCGATGTAAATACGCACAGTTTGTTTCTTGTGACTAACTGACTGACTATTTAAATTCAGTGTTCATCATGTAAAATGACAATGTTTGAGCGAAGGATATTGATCATGAATCTTAAAATGATCATTAACACTCAGAACCTAGGTACCTAAGTCACACAAGTTTTTTTTGTTATTTCACTGATTTACATTTTCTTCGCGAATCGTATCTTGGATATCTAATTTTCCCTACTACCACTGACACTGATATCAATTGTATTATGCTGGGATTCGCCCTGAAAATTTTGATTCGTGGTGCTAATTGAACACAGCAATTTAAACTATTGTACACATATGCCAGGCTCTACATTGAGTAAGACTGACTGACGGACTAGAAATTAGTCACTTTATTGAAATGGTTACAAACTACTTATTCCATCCAGAAGTAGTAGTTTTTCTACTGATCAGTTGTATTTTTTCAATAAATTATCTTTCACTGATATTGGTTGTCATTGAAATTGCACAAGAGATTTATGTCTCTTCTCTTCATAATTTTTGGCAACCTTAATACTACTACTACTAGTGATAATAATAATAGAAGTAATAATCATTGCAACGAACAGGCGTATGTGTGTACGTCATATGCAATTAGATAAGTATCTCTTTCCCCTCTTTTTCTTCTTCGATTATATCAGCTTATTGAACAGTATTAAGGTAATATTGTCTGCTAGCTGTCATGATAACAGTCAATTCGCTTCATTTTGCTTGATCTGCATCAAAAATATAGATAAAAAGTGGAATAGATATTTTTCTAATAGGATGTAATAAGGGGAAATTGATCAAATTGACATTATCATTATCACTATCATCATCAATATCACTATCGGTAACAACAACTATAATGTTATTCAAAATAAAAACAATTCACTTGCTTTTTGTCTTTTATGTGATGCTTTCTCTCCGTGTCACTTTTTCACCTTCCCACTCACTGATTCACTACTTCGCTTGCTCTCCATCTCTCTGAATCTCCACCTATTCACCCGTAACCAACATAAGCTTACCTTCATTCACCGTATGTTGCTCAAGTGAGATGCATAATAAAATGTTGAAAATAAAATGAGTTTATTCACGCAAAACAGAAAAAAATTGAACTCAGCATCGACAACAAAAAAAGAAAGATGATAGATGAATAAGTGCGCTCTGGCAGCAGCGAAAAAGAGAAAAAAATCTAGAGTAAAATCTGTGTGTGTATTTCTGTTCATTAGCTTCTTTTTTTATTCTGCTCTCTGAAAGTATCCAATAATAGTCACCATAATGTTTTTTAAAGGGAAATAATAACAGCTGACATTAAAACAACTATTATTTTCTTTCCTTAACTCAAGTAAATTTTAAGAGTATTAGGGTGTGAGGCAGTGACCCATCAAAGACTATGGGACGTGGTCGCGCAATATCGTGAATTGGTTGAAGTTAGATATTAACACCATCTGATGAAGACTCAGTGGTCTAGAGGTTAAGCGTTCTCACGCGAGATCGAATGTTCTGGGTCCGAATCCCGCGAGCGGGATCGTGGATGCACTGTTGAGGAATCCAATACTGTTCAGTATTTCCAGGTTTTCATTGGTAGTCTAGCTTAGATCGACTCGTGGATTCAACCGCGAAAATACTACATTCTCTACAGATACCTATACTGAATGTTATGCAAAAACAACGGAAAACATTAATAGCTTATCGTTTATGAATAAGCATATAAACATGTATGCATGTACATGTAATTCGTTGGACCAATTTTTGTTTGCTTCTTTCTAGAATCGGTGAACAGACTACAGACTTTAGTAATAAGGATAGTGGATTGGTCTATTTGTTAATCTTCAAGATACGTGTTCGCAGCGAAAACCCAGTTTCTCTTCAAAAGTGCATCATTTATTTAGTCGGTACGGCGTTCCAGCCGTTGATAAGAAAATACTCAATAGCACTTCAAGTTTATTTAGTTAGTTTCGAACTTCTTGAAGATTATTTTTACAAACTGATATTTTCTAGAGAGTGGTTTTAAAATTGAACGATTCGACAAATGTAAATGAAAATGAAGAAATAGTAATTAGTAGTTTTTTACATTTGATATAGAATTTCTTTAATAATTCATAAGTTTTTTTTGCGTCTTGCATACAAATAAAAACGTTTTATTAATTGTATTGAAATCTCCTTTTGTACGGGTAAACGTTATATGATTAGATCTACATACTTATACACTACAACAGAACCTGAGTTGATATAAGATCAATCACACAGTAATAATCAGTGTTATATTGTCTTGACCTCAATAATGATTGATTTTTCTATCGTTTTGAAATGTGGCCATTAGTCTGAGTGGCTAGATATAACAGTACACTTTGTTTGACCCTTGTTTGGTAGATGTATTGGTAAGACACGGTGAACTGAGACATGAAACGATTCATATTTAAGTGTTAAGACCTTATAACCAGAGATCGAATAACAACCTAGTAGATCAGCGCTGAGTATTAGAAAATGTGATATTAACTACTATAAGGTGATCAAATAATACAATTGATGCATTTTAGCTCTACGGGATTTGACACTTAATTACATGAAATTCGAATTCAAATCATCTGAATGATTTCTGACATGTTCAAATTCTCTATTTGAACTATTATGCATTTGTTGTATTGAGAAACATATAATGAAATAAACAAATGACTGATAAGAATTTACCATTACTCCTCGTTAAGAGAAGAATAAAAACAGTTGTTAATATCGTGTATGTTGGTGGGCTCGACAAATAAAACTGCATTCTTTGATTCTCAAAAGTGCTCATCTACTACTCTACAAGTGGGAATCGAACGCATGACCTTCGGTTTCACTCCCAAATGCTTGGCCACCATACCATTAAGTCGGCATGCAATAGTCTTAGTATCTAACCTTAATAATATATCATTTTGACTAGTTACACTTCAATTCGACAAACAGAAAATCAAATCAATATTCTATCAACAAAATGGCTAAAATTTATTGGGAAACTGTTTGCTGACAAGTCATGGGAAGCAACGGTTAAGTTTGTCCTTAATTCCAAATTATGTTTCATTCAATACAGTTTAATGTGATTAAACATCTTAGTTTTGCCAATTTTTCGTTTTGTTTTTTTAAAGGTAAACCTATTCAATGTTGGATTCCACAAGAGTTTACACGTGGTTGGGAAGAATATGCTGAGAATTATTGCTGGGTATCTAATACTTATTTTGCTCCATTACAGCATAGTTTACCTCCAGCCCCGGATAGAGAGATGTTACTTATTGGTTACTATCAATGGGCACCAATTGTAATGGCTATACAAGCTATGTTATTTTATTTACCGTGTCTTATATGGCGTTTATTTATGGCTCAGTCAGGTTTCAACGTTAGACGTATTCTACAAATGTCATGTGATTCTAATGTTCTACTACCAGAGCATACAATGAAAAATGTACGCTTTATAGCTCGTTATATGGAAGGTTGTATTTATAGACAAAGAGATTATAGGAAAAGAAAATTATCAACAGTTTTAGGATTTTCTCCTACAAGTTACACTGGTCTTGGACAATCACCTCATATACATGTTCATCAACACTATTCACCCTCTTATCCTCCTCATCTTCATCAACAACAACAACCACATTCACATCTGCACCATCCCCCTCCACCACCACCACCTCATTCACATACCCAATCACCACCATATATGCCTACAAGTCATTTTCATCAGCAATTAACAACAGTTAATTCAAGACAATCACCTATAGGTGGTGATGAAAATCGTTACAACAATGATCATCAAATAGAATCCACATTAATTACATCACCACGTCGTGATTCTAATACATCATTATTCGATAAAATTAGACATAGTTTCTCTATAGATGATAATAATAAAAAAAGTAAAAAACGATTACCATCTGTTACAGAAGAAGCTAATACATTAGTTACAACAATGGAAACATTAAATTCTAGAAATAGTGGTGATTATCATCCAATGATTGGACGTTTAAAAATTGATGATAGTCATACTCAACAAAATATAACAACAAATGTGAATACAACAAATTCATATCGTTCTATTCATACATTATCACCTACATTATATAAATCACAAGAAAAATCATCATTAAATTTACATAAGAAACAACATTTACATTATTGTTGTACATGTTTTTGTGGTAAACGTCAGGGAAATTTTTTAGTTCTCTTATATTTTTTCACTAAATTCTTATATTTAACAAACATTATTGGACAATTATTTATGATGGAAAAATTTGTTGGTAATGATAGTACATTTTATGGATTTCGTGTATTATATGATTTATTAAAAGGACGTGAATGGTTTCATTCGGGTAATTTTCCACGTGTAACATTTTGTGATTTTGAAGCGAAAAAACTTGGAAAAAATCATAAGTAAGTTGATTTTTTTTTAAAAATTTTTATTTTAAGTAGTTTATTGATTTCTTGTATAGTGAACAAAGACTCATTTGGGGGAGACCAATTCGTTGTCTTACGCATAGTTGCATAGTGTCTTCATAAAATATGATAACCATACACTAAATACATTTTTTGCATATCTTCCATCGGTTGTCCTTTACATACTTCATGACTCTTTCGATCCTGTTATCATTATAGTTATTCCATTTTTATATTCCTTTTCTCTTCGGTTCGATCTTCTCACTCTTCTACTGCCGGGGATTTTACATCTGATTGATGTTACACACTACTTGTTTCTGTCAACATAAGTAGCATACACCACAGTTGTACACCTAAAATAAAAGGAAATCGTATTTCATTGAACTTGATTGAATAGATTGAAACAGTAATATTTTTAGCACCATTAGATTATTTAGATTTATTTATGGTAGGGTAGAAATAGGTTAAAATAATGCGATTTTAATTGGTTGCTTGATTAAAACACTTTTTGTTAGGATGAAACCAAAGTGAATCAAATTTCAGTAACGAAATATCTGTATAGTGTTTGACAATTGAGATAGATTTATATATATATATATATATATATATATATATATATATATATATATATATTAAAGGACTAGTGATGATTACGTAATTAAGAACTTTAATTTTAGTAGTTGAATAAACTATACTCATTTGGTTCCATACACATTGGTCTCAACAGACATATTCGAGTCAGAATCTATGTAATGATAAATAGAAATATGGAAACAGGTAAACGGATATAAACTTATATGACACCAAAATTATAGATTGAAAATTCTATTTCAGAATATTAATTTTTATAAAATCCTCTTTATTTTTGAATGCTGGTTAAATCGTAAACAAAATTTCACTAATTCGCATTCATCAGTAATTAATTTATGTTTAGTTGAAGTAAATTCATCCGGTTATAAAAACATTGTATGTTACACCCAAAAAACGGTGTTTAGCTATAGCTGTTAACATCTACCGTTTATACATTTAAAAGGTTAGCCTGATATGAACATCTAATTTAATGATACTTATTTAGAACTTAACTTTTCCGATGTTCTTATCTGTTAGTTTACCTGGGTGAAAATCATGTTGATTTTTCATATGACATCAGTGTCTTGTACTTGTACATTTAAAAGTAAGATGGTGAATTAACAAATCAAAGAATCTGGTTTTTAGTTCTTTTTTCAATTAATTATTCTTATTCTTATTATTAGTTCAATGGAATTTGAATAATGATGGATTTTCGTATCTTACAGTAGTAAGCTTAGCTACTTTACGAAATTACTCCCTTTAAATTGAAGAGAAAACAGCCTAGATTGAACAATTTCGTGCATGCAAATAAGGTAATGAAAGTAAACTGTATTCTGTTCTAGAAAAAGTTGTTGGAATCATAAACCAATCTCTGTTAGACAACCACTGACGACCATTTCGTCCCAGTGTCGGATTCCTCAGAAGATTACATCTACGATTAACTCCGAGAAGAAATTTCCAGACTTCAAATGAGAAGCCATGGTCAGTAGAACTAATTCCTGTTGAGTTTGAGACATTTGCCCAATGAAGGCAATGGAAGATGGTCGTGCAATATCGTGGGTTGGTTGAATTCAGTAATTAACACTATGGAATCCCGACTTGGCTGTCTAGACGTCAGGCGTTCGCGCACGAGAGCAAAGTTCCTAGTTTAAGATTGCTTGCGGGATCGTGAACAAGAACCATTCAAGAGCCCAATGATAAGACGAAACGCTCATTCAGTGTTTCCAGGTTTTCAAAGGCTGAATAATATGGACCGGTTCATGATTCCAAAGAAATTTAACAATCTACACAACACTTTATTAAGGAAAATGGTTCGATAAGATAAACAATTAAGTTGACCAAGTTCTATAGAAATTGGTTTACATCATAGGTTTCATTTGACACAGACCGATTTTCTTTGGTGTACCATTAGAGAGCACTGAAGTTTTTTCTCCCCAGCATAGGACTTCTCAGCAGTGTACAGAAACGAACCCACCAGGGTTTGAATCCATGGCATTCAAGATTACCGGAACCATAATGAATTGCTTTTAAAATAGGCTTACATAAAACGGTATCTAATCAAATCACATATAGTTTTATATTACTATCAATAAAATCCCATTCTTCAGTGTTTCAGTCTACAATACCAGAGTAAATTTTAACTGAAACTTGTTCATCATAAACCGCTTTGAAATAATTCACTAGTTGTCATAAAACGTTAAATAATAAAATTGTAAAATGAACGACGTGGTTGATTGTTTTAAGTTTGATCTTATTCAAGTTTTGCATAAATCTATCTGTCTGTATGTATGTGTGTGTGTGTGTGAAATGTCCGTAAAGTAGATTTTCAGACTTCATTACAGTTATCCAATATTTTTACATTTATAACTGGATGGAAAAGAAAGTAGAATTAAATTATATACTAAACAGAAAAACAACATATTTTAAATACACTAACAGAAGTGAAATTAATGATTATAAGATAGAGGTTAAGATGATAATGAACTCAAGGAAATAAGCGTACGCACTTCATGCATAAATGTCAACCTGTATTCATTCAACATGTATATAATATTTCATGATTATTTCTTTTACAAACCAGAAAAAACTCGAGTTACATGTGCATTGGTTGAATGCAACTTTTCATTTTTCTTCAATCATTATAATCTTAAATATAATTTTATTACCATCTGGTGTAGTAATACATATATGTACCTATGTGTGTGTGTGTGTGTGAGTCCGTGCATGTACCCATATCCACTTCACACAGAAACATCTATACATACACTTACATTTTACAGAACACACAAAATCTAAGACCTATCTAAAAAGATGTAAAAAAAAATTGTTTTCTAGAAAAAAAAGTAAGTAGACGGTTTCCCTTTTTATTTAGTCGAATATTTAAATCAGAAATGAATTATGTGTCTGTTATTAATATCACCTAGCATAAAACATAATTTACACTTTTAATTTTTTAATAATGGATTAATGAAGGAAAATATTTTGAAAAAATTCATATTCATTGTCTATTTCTACATTCAGAGTTTTATCAGAAAGGGTTTTGTGGAGATTTTAGTAATTTCAATAGTTGAAATCATGAGTCAATTGAAGCTAGACCACCATGGAAAACCTGGAGGCATTGGAAGGCCGTTTCGTCCTAGTACGAGACTCCTCAGCAGTACTCATCCATGATCCCGCCCCCCGCGAGATTCGAACCCAGGACCTAAAAGTCTCGCGCGCAAGCGCTTGTTTTGTTAAAAAATAAATTCAATGAATGTAATCATTAACTATCTGTTCGATATATAGAGGATTTATAATCGTAACTTGGTAATGTCTACACCAAGTAAAGGAAACGATGAGTTCATACTTAAAAATTGGTGCGCATTACTGAGGTGTTTCATACTAAGCACAAAACACCTGTTCAGTGCTTTCCGGTCTATCGTCCTTCCCTTACTGGTATCAGTTCGTGTGGTCGACTACGAAATTGACTTTTTGGTTTCATCGTTGTATTCTTTATTTTATTAATATATATATGACTACATATTCCTAAAGGAATTGTAATCGTACACTGTAAGATTTCATCGATGTTGTTTGAAATGCTCGATCAGAATGACTGACATATGATGGACATAGTATGTGACATATCGACCAATAAACAACTGAATACCGATTCGCTCATATTTTTCATGATATATATGACATATAATTTTGTTTGCCGCCTATCAATTATGATATGAAATTTTACTGTTATAGTATGGTATAATTGTTTTGAGTTTGACAATCTCCTGGTAGTCATACGTAGCTTCAATTAGACAATAATGCTTCTAGTATAGATTGGCTCTAGCTTATGGATCACTGAAAACCTTAGGGGACAGGACATTTGTGTCGTCCTGGTACAATGCACTTCAAAGATCAAACCCAAGATCTAAAGTCTTGCATGTGAACGTTTAACCTGTAGGCTACTGAGCCTGAATTAAGTGGTTTTTATATCTAACTTCAACAGATTAGCGATATAACTCAAACAAATTCTACCGCCTAATTTGGAAGTTATTCCGGAAGTTCTACTAAGAAGCCATGACTAGTGAAGTTCGTCGGTGTCGGATAAGTGACAGTTATAGACCTCATGCATTAGAAGTTAATCACCCAATACATAAAGTTGATTGAACTTAGACGTGTACACCTTTGGATACTGGCTCATTGGGCTAAAGGTTAATTAGTCTCCATGAGAGCAGAAGGTCTTCAGTTCGATCCGGTCGAAGTAGTTTTTTAACTGCTAAGAAATCTCTAGTTTTCAATAACTGTTTAAAATAGATGCCTGACAAAAAAAATAGAATTGTCATTGGAAACCACTTTACTGGAATATAATGTGCAGGTTGTAAACAGTCGTAACTGTTACACAGTTTCACTAACCAAAACAGGTCAACTAACTAATAAATGATTTAAATCAAATGGTTGAAATGTCATTTAAATTAAAATTGAATTCAACAAACTAACATCGGTCTACAGACATAACTTTCATAATCTAAATGAAGTGTAATCAAATACAATCTATGTAATGCAATGATCTAGATTATTATTTACTCTCTTTGTTTCAAGTATTATCAAAGTTATATTATTTACAGTCAAATCTTTGCATTCATATATACAATCATTCCATATGTAATGGAACTTTTACAGGATGTAATATTCTTTTACGTAAAACGATAATCGTACTGACATTGAAAAATTTACATTTAATACCATAAGATAATTATTTGTCCAACTCTTCTTATTTCTTTTTATCTCTGTCGTCTTTGTAGTGTATGTGTGTGTTCGCATTACATGTATGTACACCTATCTGTTGTACATTACTGGTACCGATTCTTGGATTGTCATGAGCTTAATGTAACAGAGATCTACAGTAAAGCATAAAGATTTATTTACCTTCTACAAAATTATTTCCAGGTAGA